TGGAAAATGGAACTAAAAGATAAGTTTTTTGGTAAAAATTTTTGAAGTACGTTTGCACAAGGGATCTTCAAGAAATTCAGACAAAATGTAGATTATGAAAAGACTGTGCATGAATTTAAAATTTTTTTTGCACCTAAAACATCATTTGTATCTCTTATTTCTATGAACTTTTTGAAGTACTCTCATATTTGTGAACCTTAAATTTTTTTGTCTATAAAATGTATTTGATAATAGCAAAACCTGTTTCCTAAGGTTTTGGAGAGATAAGTAATACATACAAGTGTCTTAGCTTAGTGCTGGCTTGTAGTAAGTGTTCATTAAATGTTAGTTATCGTTTTTAACCATGTTCCTTAAAATGATTCTTAGGTTAATGATACAATTTAGAGTGTTAATGTATTGTTTTGCACCTGAAGAATATATGTGTATAAATGTATGTGGAATATTTTTAAAATTACGCCATTGAAAAATTTTCACAGATTAGTTAAAAATTAATGTTATCTTTTTTAGTTGAATCTTTTTTTTTTTTAACTTTTATTTAATGAATATAAATTTCCAAAGTACAGCTTATGGAGTACAATGGCTTCCCCCCCATAAATTCCCTCCCACCCACAACCCTCCCCTTTCCCGCTCCCTCTCCCCTTCCATTGACATCAAGATTCATTTTCAATTCTCTTTATATGCAGAAGATCAGTTTAGCATATAGTAAGTAAAGATTTCAACAGTTTGCACCCACATAGAAACAAAAAGTGAAAAATACTGTTCGAGTACTAGTTATAGCATTTTTTTTCTGAATTTTTTTTTAACTTTTATTTAATGAATATAAATTTCCAAAGTACAGCTTATGGATTACAATGGCTTCCTCCCCATAACGTCCCTCCCACCCGCAACCCTCCCCTTTCCCACTCCCTCTCCCCTTCCATTCACATCAAGATTCATTTTTGATTCTCTTTATATACAGAAGATCAGTTTAGCATACATAAAGTAAAGATTTCAACAGTTTGCTCCCACACAGAAACATAAAGTGAAAAATACTGTTTGAGTACTAGCTATAGCATTAAATCTCAATTCCCTTTGGTCTATCTAATGGTTTGTCAGTATGGACAGTGACAAGGCCTATCACATCTTTGTATCATTGTGGTTTTCGGCCTGGGTTCTGGTACATAATAGGTACTCAATAAATGTGATACTTTACTTGCCCTTTTTTTTAAAAAAAAAAACAAAAAACTTTTTGACCACTAAAGATGAAACTTAATATTAATCATCTCATTGGAGAAAAAAATTCAATTATATGAAATATAGTAATTTGGGAATGGAATTTTTTACATGTACTTAGGATGTCATTTCCATAGAATATCTGTGAGGGTATAAAACTCATTCGGAAGAAGACAGTATAGTAATGGTGAGTGTTTGTTACATGTCCTTGAAAAATACATGCGAAGGTATATTTTAAGTAAGTCATTAGTAGGGTCTTTGCATATGCTTTTTTTTTTTTTACTTGAGAGGCAGAGAGAGAGGTCTTCCATCCTCTGGTTCACTCCCCAGATGGCCTCAACGGCCGGAGATGAGCCAATCCAAAAACAGGAGCCAGGAGCTTCTTCTAGGTTTCCCACGCGGGTGCAGGGACCCAAGGACTTGGGCCATCTTCTGCTTTTCCAGGCTATAATAGAGAGCTGGATCAGAAATGGAGTAGCCATGTCTCGAACCAGCGTCCATATGGGATGCCGGCACTTTATCCGCTAAGCGGCAGCGCCAGCCTGCATATGCATCAAAATGGTTTATATAAAACAAGAATAACCTTTTTGCATATAGTAATGTGTGATGTTACTATTGGTAGAAAATGTTCATACAGATTGATTTTGTAATCATATTTCACTTTATAGTACAAATTTAGAATTTTTTGGGGGTAATCTTCTGTGTTTTAACTTTTTCCATTCATGTCTCAACAAGAGATGATACTAGTACCTGGCTAGTGTGGCTTATTTCATTATCTTAAGGAAAATAATATACTTCCTAAATAATCATAATTGAAGTCATAATAATATTTTTTTTCTTTATTGGTTGTCAAGAAATAAGATGGAAAGCATCTTGTTTTAGTAGTTCTAGCTTACTCCATTCTGTGTGTGGTTTTTGACTTGATTTGAGTGATGTCAGGGTCCTCAGAGGCAGGCAAGTGACAGAATAAAAAAGAGTGGTAATTGAGCTCTTTGGGATTGAAACTGCTGACAGTCCCACAAGATAAAGCCCAAGCAGCATGCTCTTTTCTGTCTAGGGCTTGAACTAGAATTACTGTTCTCCTTTAGAGCACAGTTTAGAATTTTGTTGTGTGTCTTTTTGGATGTTTCTCCCCCTGGCTATTTTGGTTCTGCTTTCTTTTTAAGTTGAGTTCCAATGCATATTATATGCTTTAGTTGTATAGTTGTATAACCTTCTGTTAAGAGGTCTTTAGATAGTGTGGGAAAAGAAAGACAAGGCAAAAACCTTCATTTACTGAAAATGAGTTATACAAATGTCCCATAAGGTTGCCTATTAAATTACAACTGTTATGGTCAATACTTGTTATATGCAAAATATATTTTTAAATTATAACTTCAACTAAAGTAGTATATGTCTTATAGCTATTTTATGGCAGAGTTTGCTTTGAACCATGACCTGTCTTAGAACCCATTTTTCAGAAAAGGAGTGGAAAATAATGTAACAAGCATGTGCTGTAAAATTAAACTTTAGGTTTGTCTTCTTCCCAACTGGTATCTGTTAGCTGTGTAATCTTGATCATTGACTTTCTTGGCTAAATTAAGATGAAAATTAAGATGCTTTCTTCTGGTGGTAGTTACAGGTATATAGGAAGTGAATGTGAGGGTGTGTAACTGGTTGTGTGGGTATACATTCAACTTAGCTTTCCCTTTGCCTCCACTCTCACTGAGCCACCTTGCCCCTCCTGTCTGTTTCTTTGGTGAAAGAAAGGCCCAACAATATCCTTTGAAAGACTTACATTGATTAAAATTAGAAGGATGAAAGAATTTGAAAAGAAGATTAGAAGGCAAATAGGAAAATAAATAACTGCAGTAAAAGTACTCCCTATAAAACTGCTTTTTACATTGGAAACAAGGTGAAGTCTTTCTACTTACAGTCTTCCTACTGTTGTTTTTGGTCAGTAATTTATTTAAAGTGGTGGGCTTCTTTTGTTTTTAATTATTCACTTAAATAAACGGTGAACTTTTGACTCCTTTGGGCAATTTCATCTGTAAAAACTTCTCCAAGCTGTCTGGTCTTTGCCTTTTGTTCTATCTTTTTGACTCAGTAAAAAGAATATGTAGCTTTGTGAGCAGTAAATTGAGAGATGGATCATCCATACTTCTGAGATAGTAATGGTTACAGTGGCACACACCATGTAACTTGTCCCAGTGAACCTCTAAGAAACTGCTTCCATTGTTAGGTTGCCACATCTTACCTCATGGTCATTGTTGGTTATCTCATGTGATCTATTTTTGCTGCTACCTATGCAGTCTTATAGCAGTGGTACTCTGACTACTCTGGTATTGCTCTCTTTGGAAACTGCCTGATTCTGATTCCTTAGCCTATAGCTATTGTTCTCTGCCTAGGTGTTTTTGATTTGCATGTGTTTTAGTAACTTTCTAAAAAAGCACTGTAGTCCTTTGATTCAAAAAAAGTTTACAACCCTTATAGTTGGAAAAGGGAAAAAGACTCTTTAAAATTTTTGTTCTAAAATGAAAGTTATGAAATCTGACTAATTAAAGTATATTAATAAATGGATTGTTTTCCTACCTACCACCATATATTGAGTATGCAACTGAGAAAGAGAACAAACTAGAGATTCAAAACTTTGGTTTCTTTCCCTTGGTTTGACTATTGATTTGCTATGTGATTTGTGATTTTTATGAAGTTCTGGTATATTTTCTAATGTAACATAAGGATTCCAATTTTTCTAAAGACATTGTATAGCTGTTATATAGTACAGTATGGTATCCTAGTCTGTTTTCTGTTGCTAATAACTCAAATACCACAGACTGGGGAAATTGGAAAGAAAAGAAGCTTGTTTGGGTCATAGTTCTTATCCAAGGTTGAAGTTGTACATCTTTCCTGCAGTCCTAGAGTAGTGCAGGGCATCACATGCTGAGAGATAGGGAGGATGTGTGTGTATGCTCTCTGGTTTCTCTTCCCCTCTTCTTCTTCCTGTTTTTTTTTGTTTTTTTTGTTTTTTTGTTTTTTTTTTTAAACCATTTATTTATTTATTTGAAAAGCAGAGAGAAAGAGAAATCTTCCACCTGCTGGTTCACTTCCCAAATGGCCTCAATGGCTGGAGCTGAGCAAATCTCAAGCCAGGAGCTAGGAGCTTCATCTGAGTCTCCCATGTGGATGCAAGGCCCAAGGATTTGGACCATCTTCCTTTGCTTTCCCAGGGGCATTAGCAGGGAGCTGCATCAGAAGTAGAGCGGCTGGGACTTGAACCAGCTTCCATATGGGATGCTAATAGCACTGGTGATGGCTTTACCTGCTGTGCCACAGCACTGGCCCCTTTCCCCTTCTTCTTAAAAAACGACAAATACCTAGTCATAAAGACTCTGCCCTGTTGACTTTATCTGATCCTGGTCTCCTCCCAAAGGTCCTACCTGTAAACATCCTGTTTGGATTAAGATCCCACCGTCTTAGTGCCTTACAATAGGAATTAAGTTTCAACTTGAGTTTGGAGGGGATGAACCATGGCAATGGAAAATATGTACATTCAGGACAGGAAATACATATATTAGGGTGTTCATATATTGCATCCATTTTTAAAATGACTAGAATGCTCTTCACTGAATTTTACTTGTTTGCAGGTTATTTTAGGCATGCAAGTTTTAATTTAAACACTTTTTATTATTTGAGGTCAGTTTTTTATTGTGTTGCTATATATACTTTGGCTATTATATAATAAAAGATTCTTGTATTTTTATAATATGTTAAAATATATGTAAACAATTATGTGCATAATGTATTTCCAGGTCCAATGATGCATCAGCAGCCTCCTTCTCAGCAATTCAATATGCCACAAGGAGGAGGGCAGCATTACCAAGGACAGCAGCCACCTATGGGAATGATGGGTCAAGTTAACCAAGGCAATCATATGATGGGTCAGAGACAGATTCCTCCTTATAGACCACCTCAGCAGGGTAAGATTCCACATGGGAAATTTCCTGTTTAATGTAAATAACAGTAATTCAGAAGCTTTACGTGTTAATGAATTTTTTATCTAGGCAAAGTCAGAGCTTTTTGTTTCTAGATATTTTATTTTCTTCCTAAGGAGTGGGTATAGTAGGTATGAAGTATATAGGAACATCCTAGTATATAGCTTTATTTTGTCTGTTCTTTGGGAAAGATTGATATCATAAGCTTACTAACTTACAGGAGAAAGTACTATTTTGTTTTTGAGAAATTATTAATTATATGGGCAAGAACAAAATCTTATATCCGAGTACTCTAATATCAAAAGAAAAAGATTAGTTTTCTATCAGGCTGAACTTCTTTTTAAGAAGTTAGTGTTTGTTTTTCTGAGCTGGATTGTTTGATATTGGGTGTATGGTCCTAACATTAATTTTAGTAAATGGCATGTGGGGAACTGTTGTCTGTATGTATGCATGTATGAATAGTTCTGAAATGCAGAGCATGGGAGTGGAACCTGTACTTGATAAATAATGTCTTATGATATCAGATTAGGAAAAAAAGGTTGATGACATAGATAACAGATTATTTACATCTTGACTGGTTGTGGTTTTTCAGGGCCACCACAGCAGTACTCAGGCCAGGAAGACTATTATGGAGACCAATACAGTCATGGTGGACAAGGTCCTCCAGAAGGCATGAACCAGCAATATTATCCTGATGGTAATCTCTCCTAATGTTAAGCTTCCCATTTTCTATCCCTTCCCAGTATTAATGTGGAGAGCTATTCAAAACATCTGAATGAGGATGAAGAAGCTAACAAATTGTTTCTTCTAAATTTAGATAATACTTTTAAGCATCTAAAGTAACAGTGATAGCATTAGTTCATATTCTAATTAGTTTATAATCTAATTTAAAGTATATTTTGTATAGATATGCCATTAATAACATCAGGAATTACCTGCACCTGAAATCCTTTCTAACATAAAAGAAGATCCTTTTATATTTGGGATTGTTCAGTTGAACCAAAGCAAATGTTAACTGATTTACTTTTTTTTTTAAATAACAGCTTTATTGAGATATAATTCACATACCATAAAGTTAACCAATTGGCTTACATTTCTGCACTGTGTAAGTACATAAAGAAATAGTTCTTGAGTAGTCTTCCACATTTCATCATTTTAGTTTAGTTGTGTATGTCTCAAAGAACTATATTTTATATACTTCACTACTTATGTAGGAGAATAATTTGGAGGCTAGATTTTTATCCATAGTATAGCTATGTATAGACTTAATTGAATAAAAAGAAGACTGTGGAAACCAGATTTTTAGTTGTTTATTTTGGTTAGTGTTTTTAGTGGGAAGGTGGCTTATGAAAAAGTGCTTAATTAAAGATGTACTACCACTGTTCTTTAAGAAAATCTAAATAGTAATAATCAAAAGCACACAAGTAGGTTTTCATTGTGCAGTTCCTTCAGTTTTCTGTACGTTTGAAAATTTTCTAATACAGTGTTGAAGAAAAACAGTCAAAACATAAAAAACATAAATTAAGAGGTGATTATTGACGTTACAAAATGATTTGTATCCTTAAGAAAGGATTTACCAGAAGCTTCATTTATACTAAGCTCCTGTGATGTATTTAATGTAAATTAGTCAGTAGAGAAAATAAGACATTGAAAATGTTAGAAGCCATTGAATTGAAGCTAATAAAAGCCAGCAAGAAGGTATAATTTGGTGTGTTTGAATAATCATTTTGCCTATCATTTTTCGTTATTGTATAAAGCGATACATCGGTTCTTAAGATTTGTCTTTACTGTAGAGGCTCTGAGTGTACAGGCAGAGCAAACATCTACTTGTTGAATTTTACATAGAATACATGTTTATTAGTAATAGTAGTGACATATGGATACTTTCGGCTAGGAAATGATGTATTTTTTGATCTTAGATTTTCTTGTCCTGAATTACTCAGAATTTTTTTGGTTTCACATGCAGATATGATATTAAGATTTTTTAAATTAAAAACTTTAGTAAGTTTATAGTAAGCTATAGATATTTTAAAGAGGTGAAGTCTGCTTTATTAGATTATATATATTAAGTCTTCTGAAAAGAAGTGATTAAATTAAATTTTAGAAATATATCTAAAGTAATAGAGTTGACTTGGCAGGGATATTTTTGGTTCTTAATATTTCTTAAAGTATGATAGATATACTTATAAATATCCTTTCTACATAAAACAGAAAGATATGTTATCTTTATGATATAAAAACTTAAAAATTGCTATAAATAATTCTTTTTATTACATTAGTTTTTTTATTTAAATGGTATCACTTTTATGTAGGTATGTATTGCGGTATGTCTGACATTTATAGAGTATTACATTTATATCAACAACTATTTCCTTGATCAGCATTGGATATTTTCTCTTTTGTCCAGATACTAATGCCAGTATGTATACTAGGTGTTGTCAAACTGTTCTGAAAGGGCCAGATAGTAAATATTTTTATCCTTGTGGGCCATATGGTCTTGCTCAGCTCCTTAACTCTTGTAACATGAAAACTGCCATAACCAATACTTAAATGTATAAGTGTGACTGTATTACAATAAAACTTTGTTTATGTAAACAGGCCACTGGCTATATTAAGACTGCAGGTCATAGTTTGGCAACCCTTGAAGTGGATATTTATGAGGTGATTTGAGAGCATTCAAATACTAGAGCACTGTCAATAACATTTATTCGAACTATATTTCCCCTTGTTTAATTAGGTATTAATGTAAAATTTAGTTCAGATTTTAGCTAACTGAAAGCTATGTCCTACATTTTCATAGTGGAACTTAGTTAAAGAAACAAGAGTACTGTGTTTTCATTAGAACCCAGGTATTTAACAAGTGAAATTAATTGTCCTAAAATTAAAGGTGTATTCTAGCACTCAAAACAGTATTAATTTTATGAAGGCATATGTTTTTGGCACTCTAAAGACTTCTGAATTGACAGAATTAAGAAATAACTTTTTTAAGCCTGAAAATACTTTGAAACACCTATACTTTCTGCAAGTAATGTTGGGGAGGGAGGGTGAAAAATTTGTTTCAGTTTCTTTCAGGGGAAAAAACTTATGGAGCTCTTTTATATTTTGCATTGTTTTTAGCATATGCTGTGGAATTGGAGACCAGCAGAACAGGTGTTTGACAAAATATGATAATTGCTTCCTTTGTTCATTTTAATTTGATTCAAGTTATTTACATGTGAAAAGCCTAAACACTTTCATTCTCTTTTTAAAAAATGGAAGATATAGTTTTTTTCCCCCTCAGTGAGGATTATCAGTTAAGATAATAAGTGTAATGTTTCTAAAACTACTGCTTTTTGCCTTTACAAAAATTTGCACGTTATCAGTATGAAAACAGTCCATTGGTAAATATTGGCTAATGCAATTGAAATTATTTTTTATGTATTTCCATTTCTTTTTCTTTTTTTCAGTTTTATCTGAAAGTTTAAATATTTTTAGGGTCTTCACTCAGTGGCCATTAACGTTTCTTCCTGTCTCTTGTCGAATTGATGTAGGTCATAATGATTACGGTTATCAGCAACCGTCGTATCCTGAACAAGGCTACGATAGGCCTTATGAGGATTCCTCACAACATTACTACGACGGAGGTATCTATATACCTTCACACACATATACATATATATCCCCTTCTACAGGAATGGAAATTCTTGCATAAGACAACTTCTACCCATGCAGAGCTCTTGTAGAATACTAGTTGCTGGCTGTCTTGAAAGTTATAGGGAGCCCAAAACAATCAAAATAATTTCCTTACAAATATTTAAAATGTATAACCATGACTTGCCATTTCTAACAGTAATAAAAAGACTAAAACATTAAAAATAATTTTTTTCCTCGGTGGAAATTTTCTATTTGCACATAAATCCATCAATCCAATTTTTTTTCCTTGTGTGTGTTTACATATGTATAATTTTACATATAAGTTTGGTGCCTTTAGGAAAAAGCTTGCTGATCTTGTGTAGCTAGTGTGTGCTCTTGTAGCTGTCTTTAATTTTGTTTTTTTTATTTTGTTTAGCATAGTCATGATCTTATGACTGTGATGTTCCAGTAAATGTAATGCTCGTATGGCAGAGACGCTGAAAATGCTGCAGTTCAACCTTGCAAAATTGGCTTTAACTGCAGTTTGTTTGGCCGAAATCCTTCTGTTTGGTTTGAGTTTTTTCTTTGTTTTGTTAACTTTTAAAAATCAATATGGCATTTCATTCTGTTCTTGTGTTGTTGGCTATGCATCTTAGAAGGAATGAAATTAACTAAGCAAATTTCTCAGTTTTTTTTCCTCTTCTCCAATTATCCTGTAGGAAATTCGCAGTATGGCCAACAGCAAGATGCTTACCAAGGACCACCTCCACAACAAGGCTATCCACCCCAACAACAGCAGTACCCAGGACAACAGGGTTATCCAGGACAGCAACAGGGCTATGGTAATAGGTTTTTACAGCTTATTTTTTGTCACCAAAAAGTGTGTGATGACTGTTGTTTTGAAATAGAGCAGTGGATATTTAATATTTTTTTCTAAGAATTACCACTTTTGAAAATTCAGTCTGAGCACAGTCTACTATTAGAGTGTATATTTAAAATGTTACTCTAATATAAACTAGTAATCCAGCTAAAACGAACCACAAACTGGAGATGGTTCATTGACCAACGGTAAGGTGTATAGTCATTAAGACAAGAAAAATGAATTCTCACATCTATTTAGTATTCATGACCAACCATTAACTTTGTATATGCTTGGAAATTTTTTTTTTTTTTTTTTTTGACAGGCAGAGTGGACAGTGAGAGAGAGAGAGACAGAGAGAAAGGTCTTCCTTTGCCCTTGGTTCACCCCACAATGGCCGCCGCCGCAGGTGCACTGAGGCTGGCGCACTGCGCTGATCCGAAGGCAGGAGCCAGGTACTTCTCCTGGTCTCCCATGGGGTGCAGGGCCCAAGTACTTTGAGCCATCCTCCACTGCACTCCCTGGCCACAGCAGAGAGCTGGCCTGGAAGAAGGGCAACCGGGACAGAATCTGGTGCCCCGACCGGGACTAGAACCCGGTGTGCCGGCGCCGCTAGGCGGAGGATTAGCCTAGTGAGCCGCGGCGCCGGCCCTATGCTTGGAAAATTTATGACTGGGTGATGATTAATGATATGTATAGAATCTGCTTAGCAAATTTGTTTCTAAAAACTAATATCTATTACTATAAAAATAACATTGATTTTTTTTTTGAGTACATATGAAGAGATTTATTCAGAATGCACAGAAATGTTTTTTTCATTCTCTAATTAAAAAGCAATATACTGTATATCCTTAGAAATCTATTTATTGCATGAATTTGGGAAAATATAGGTGTATTTTCCTATTATATATTCACTATAATACAACTACCCGGATATCTGACTTTAAAATAATTTTTTAGAATTTTGATTTATCTTTTTATTTGAGAGGCAGAGAAAGAGATAGAGATCTCCCATTGCTGATTGACACCCCATGTTCCTGCAAGTGCTGGAACTTGGCCAGGCTGAAGCCAGGAGCTCCATCTGGGTCTCTCACATGGGTGGCAGGGACCTAAGTACTTAAGCCATCACTTGCTTCCCAGGGTACATATTAGTAGGAAGATAGAATTGGGAGTGGTGCTGAAATTTGAACCTAGGTACTGTGAAATGGGTCTTGGGCATTTCAGACATCATCACATCTGCTAGGCCAGAAGCCTGCTCTTAACCTAATTTTGTATTTAGTAGATAAGGGGTAGAGAGTGATGTAGAACTAATATCATTCTTAAATTTCAGGCTACTACAAGCATTTTAGATATAGGGAAATGAAGTTCTAATGATAGAGAAGTTGCTTATTATTTTTTTGGACAGGCAGAGTTAGACGCTGAGAGAGAGAGAGGGACAGAGAGAAAGGTCTTCTTTTTCCATTGGTTCACTCACCAAATGGCCGCCATGGCTGGCAAGCTGCACCGATCCGAAGCCAGGAGCCAGGTGCTTCCTCCTACTGCACTCCCAGGCCACAGCAGAAAGCTGAACTGGAAGAGGAGCAACCGGGACTAGAACCCAGGGTGCCGGCACTGCAGGTGGAGGATTAGCCAAGTGAGCCACGGCGCCAGCCAGAAGTGGCTTATTAATACTGAGATAATCTCTTGCTCTAATATGATTTCTTTTTCTTGTAAATAGTGTCTTGTGGGGCTGGTGCCGTGGCTCACTTGGTTAATCCTCCCTCTGCCTGCTGCGCCAGCATCCCATATGGGCACCGGGTTCTAGTACTGGTTGATCCTCTTCCAGTCCAGCTCTCTGCTGTGGTCGGGGAAGGCAGTGGAGGATGGCTCAAGTGCTTGGGCCCTGCACCTGCATGGGAGACCAGGAGAAAGCACCTGGCTCCTGGCTTCAGATCAGCACAGCATGCCGGCTGTAGGGGCCATTTGGGGAGTGAACCAATGGAAGGAAGACCTTTCTCTCTGTCTCTCTCTCACTGTCTGACTCTGCCTGTCAAAAAAAAAAAAAGAGCCAAGAAGCCAAAATCATGCTGAACATATGTTTCTTCCTCAACATACGTATTGAAATTTGGTCAGATACTTTTGTCCTGAAAGACATAAGTTCTGTGTCTCTGATCTTGGATAAGACTTCAGAAATATTTCATTGATCTTTTCACAAAGGGGTTTTCTTGCCCTTCCCAAATGGCATTTCTGTTTTGTGTCTGTTTAGAATGTTCTGGTGTTACTGCATTTACAGGAAACCAAATATAAATCAGATAAACTCATTGAGTTAAGAGAAATGCTACTTTCAGTGAGAAGAGAGAGAAGAAAGTCTCATTAACTTTGGTTTAAGTAGTTCAGTGCTGTTGATAGACATTAGAAATTCTACAGAAGTAGTTCTTACTTTATTATTGGGATTCAATTGTCAAGCTTTCTTATGGGAAAGTAGCAGTTTTAGTAGTTAAATATATAATAGTTAAATAAATAATAGAGTCTTGAAATTTATGTAAGCTTGAAAATTTGTTTTTCTCTTATAACACTTCTGCACAATCTTTGCTTTTAATGGCAGGTTTTGCATTCAAAAAAGGTTTATAATGCATTCGTTACAATATATAATCATTGAATTTATAAAACATATTTGTTTAGCAAACCAAATCAGTTGATTGCTGTCTCAAGAATTTGAAATCATCTTTATGGGTGTATTAGTTTGTTTTCCATTGCTATAACAAAGTACCTGAGGTTGGATATTTTATAAAGAAACTCAGAGTTTGGGAGATGCAAGAGCATGGTACCAACATCTCAGCTCTGGTGAGGAACCTTGTGGCTTCAACACATGGGGATGGCATCATGGTGGGAGCACATGCAGAGAGATCACAGGGTGAGACAGGAAGCCAGGGTAGCTGGGAGAAGCCAATCTTTTTCTTCAAAATTAACCCTCCTAAGAAAGCTAACTAGGGTCCCATGAAAGCTATGTCAGTTTCTTCTTTTTTTAAAAAAAAAATATTTGAAAGGCAGAGTCTGTGAGGGAATGAGGGAGGAAGACTGATCTACCTTCTACTGGTTTAATCCCAAAATGGCCACAATTGCCAAAGCCTGGCCAGGTCAAATCCAGGAGCCAGGAACCAGAAGCTTCTTCCAGTTACTCCCACAAGGTTGGCAGGGTTCTAAGCGCTTGTGCCATCTGATTCTGCTTTCCCAGGTACATTAGCAGGGAACTGGACTGCAAGTGGAACAGTTGGGATGTCTGTGTTGTGGGTGGTGGTTTAATCCTCTGCGCCTCAATGCCAACCCCTAGGCTTTACCTCTTACGTATTCTATCTCTTCTCAACATACTGAGAATCAGGCTTCTGAAAAATGAACCTTTGGGTGACACATTCAAACTGTATCCCAACTGTAGCCATGGGTGAAAGATAAAGGTGACTGATGATGATTCAAAGGTTTTTTTGTATGAAACATGACTTCAGATTTTACTTTCTGTTTTAAAGTATTGTGATTAGTTTGTCCATGCAAAGTATAGCCATATGATTCCTTTTGTGATTGCAGAAATGTGAATCTAGAGTCACAGTAGTTGTAAATATCATGACTTCCCTAGTGTTATTCAGAAGTATTTCAGTCTTTGAATCTGCTTTTCACTTTTTATTTTGCTTCTTGCTTCCACTGGTTAACTATCCACTAGATGTATAGATTAGTTTTCTTATTATCATGGAGTTAATTTGCTTTACGGTTCCCTGAATCTTTCTTGGCCATTTTGCCGTAAAAATTTTTGAATAGTCAGGGCATGACAGAGTAGGTGCATTGAAGTAGTGTTAAAATATTTTCATTCTTATTAAAACCATTGAAATTTATTTCAAACAGTATTTGAGAAAATTAAGGTACCAACTGTCTAAGTTTGATACACAAGAAAGGGTAACATATAATTTTGAACTGTTTCCCAAGTTCTAGGGGCTTAATTATATTTTTATATATTTTGTTGAAATATCTTGTGGTAATTATTTTGCAGGTCCTTCACAGGGTGGTCCTGGTCCTCAGTATCCTAACTATCCACAGGGACAAGGTCAACAATATGGGGGTTACAGACCAACACAGCCTGGACCACCACAGCCCCCCCAGCAGAGGCCTTATGGATATGACCAGGTAAGTTATTTGACCAACTGTGCAATTGTCATATTGTTTGTTCACTCTGGATTGGGTCAAATATTTTTCATGTGAAAGCTTATTTTTCCTTCCTTTCGTTCATACTACATTTGTTAACCACAAAGTATATTATATTTAAGTCTCTTGCAAGAGTGCGAACACAGCCAATCATAGTTACTCTGACATGTAAAACATGTCTTGATCTTCTACCCTGACCCCACTGCCCTTTTTGGTCTTCATACTTTGGAGTATTTTTCTTAGCTATTTCTCTCATCTCTCTCATGTTTATTGCCGAACACTTTGCCTTGACCTGCTTAGATGTGGAGTCCATCTGTGTCAGTTCTTCTGTTAGCTCTCTATTGCACTTCATGTTACTAAACACACTTTCTTCATACCCATAGTATCCCATCTCTGAATTCAGACTTGCTGTGCTGTGCTGCCTCCTTTCACACATATATCTGTTATCTCAGATATTATTTCTCCCATTAACTTTTAATGTGTATCTCATCCTAGGATAACTATATTCCTTTGAACTTAGTATTCAAGTTCCTTCTTTTTGTCGTTAAGCTCCTCAGATATAGTCTATGTCAAAGTTATTGTTTAATGAATGTCCTCGTACATACTCTGGGTTATTAAGGAAATAATTTATTATGACAACTTTAAGATTGATTTTAGGTTTATCTAGTGGCTTTTCAATGAGGATACTTTGGTCTTTTCACCACTTAAACTACTTAAAATAAGTTATTTTTGATATGGAACTGTCTTTAATATGGAAATTAGGGTTCCAGGGCCAAGGTAGATGGTCTGGTTTCAGGAACGACTCAGATGCAAATGCTAATTAGAATTTAAAGTATGAGCAGCTTTTCTGAACCCTTTCTGAAACCTGCAACCCTGTTGATACTGTTACTCCTATTTAAGTGAAGACAAAGGAGACTTAAACTAAAAGGAGAAAAGCAGGTGAGTAATATTTTTAAAGAATTACAATAGAACAAAATCAAAGAAAAATTTAAAGGGGAGCCTTTAAATTTTAAAAATAAAATGAGTCTTAGGTAGTAAATATGTAAGGCGGGATTCCTGAGCAGGTAAAATTTAGGCTCATTCTAATCCACTTAACTTTTTCAAAAATGAGGTTCTGGTCATATGTTCCTTCATTCAACAAATGCTTGCCAATTTTCACAATATGCTGGATACTTAATAGTAAGTCCTAGATAAGAGTCACAGTCTGAATGGCTTATAGAACAACTATCTTGATCTTCCTTGACCTCATTAGCTTTTTTTTTTTTTTTTTTTTTTTTTTTGACAGGCAGAGTGGACAGTGAGAGAGAGACAGAGAGAAAGGTCTTCCTTTTTGCCTTTGGTTCACCCTCCAATGGCTGCCGTGGCCGGCGCGCTGCGGCCGGCTCATTGCGCTGATCTGAAGCCAGGAGCCAGGTACTTATCCTGGTCTCCCATGCGGGTGCAGGGCCCAAGGACTTGGGCCATCTTCCACTGCACTCCTGGGCCATAGCAGAGAGCTGGCCTGGAAGAGGGGCAACTGGGACAGAATCCGGCGCCCCGACCGGGACTAGAACCTGGTGTGCCAGCGCTGCAAGGCGGAGGATTAGCCTATTGAGCCACAGTGCTGGCCTCATATTAGCATTTGATACACATTCCTTTTTCATTCTTCAATAGTCTTTAACTTCATTACTGTTTTGTTTGTCTTGAATTTATAGTGTTAGTTTTTTTTTTAATCTAATTTCTCATCTTACCCAAATATCACTTCTCAGCTCTGTGGTTTTCTGTCTGTAAGTCATCCTGTCTTGTACTTTTAGTAAACTGAGCTTCTACCATCTCTCTCTGGATGTTTTATTCTGTCAATTTTAGTATGTCATCCACTAAACTGGCCATTTCTGTTTGTAAGTCTACATATTTCTGAATTTTCTAAACTTCAGGCTATTCAGTAAGCAAATGGTTATTGATAAATAGTTATATGTTATATACCATGCTAATATTGGGGACATGCTGAGAAATAAAATAGACATGGACTCTGCCTTTTGAAATTAATTCAAGTTGCAGTACAGATAAGTAAGCAGATGATACAATATCATGATTACTTGGGTGAGGACAGCAAAGATAGATATGAAAGGAGCTTCTGTTAGATAAGTATTAAGCCCCAAGAGTAAGTCAGGATTAGCCAGGTAAATGTGGAAGGGGAAATGATGTTCTGTTCAGAAAGAAGAGCATTTACAAAGGACTAATGTTAAAGTTGTGTGATTCAATAAAGAAGAAACCCATGAAAAAAGAGGCAGGACCGGTGAGATATGTTGGGCTTAGATTAGTGAAGCTCGTAGAAATCATGTTAGGGAACTTGGACGTTAACCTGACATCAGTGCAGAGCCTTTGAAGGATTTTAATTGGTGTATAAAAAGTATCTAGTTTTTGCTGGCACTGGAACAACATTTTAGATACCTGACTTCTCCTTTTAGCATCATAATTATTCTGCTCTCTAACATTCAGAATTTGGGACTGTCATGTGAAGAGGTCAGTGTTTGGGTAGTTGTTGCCAGCTGCATCTGCTTCTACACTATAAAAAAAAAGGAAGAGGGACTGTTTTAGTTATGGTAGTATCAGTTGTCTTTCCACATTCATCTGACACTTAACCTTATCTACTTATACAAACACCTGTTGAACTCTTCATTCATTCACCTCTTAAAGATGCTTGAGACGATGTAAAATCTATGCATATTCCTAAACCCAACCCAGTTAGAGTAATATGGTTATTGTGGTAGTTTAGGCAGATTATTTTTATAGCCATCTGTGGGACAACTGAAAATATTCCCTGGTCTTACTTGTTTTCTTTATCTCGGGGCTTATTGTCCTTTGTTGCATCTGTCCTGTGTCCTGAGTACAATAGGTTCCTATGTTTTTGTAGTTTTTTGGTTGTTTCAGGCTGGAGGGTAAATTGATACTGACCGCAAAGATGCTTTAACTTTTCAGCCTAGCATTTCTCTCCATTTTATGAATTATTTAGTTATTATCTGTTGTAATACTTCACATCTAGTGTGCAAACTCTTTTTGCTATTGTTTTGTCTGTTTTTATTGACTCTTTATCACCTAGTAGAACATAACATGTGTTCAATAAATATTGATAAATAAAGTATTAAGTAATTGAATAAATAAGGCCATTTCATAGATTCAGATGGCAATAAGAGGAGGTAGTAGGAAACCTCTAAATAGTATTTTGAAGCAATAATGTTAATACTTTTAACTGATTAGATAAATGGAATAAAAGAAGGAAATTTCAAGATGGTGAGTATAGTTCAGTGTTTCTAGCATAGGAATTCTCATTCAGTAGACTCTCTAGGCAATCTCTTTGAATGATATATTTTCATTATATATTTATTATATATATATTTCATTATGTATATTTTTTAAATGTACATATTTTCTGTTAACTCCCAGATCTCTATTTCTAGTCTGAATCTCTCTTCTGGAAATCAGATGCCTACTGGGTGTCTCCACTGAGGTGTATCATAGGCATATTAGTTCAGTTAACCTAAATAAATCCACCTTTTTTCCCATATAGACTTCTTTCTCCTTTTTCAAAGAGAGGAATATTATCACCAAGTAAGAATGCCAAGGCTATATTTGGCATTTATTCTCCCTTCCTGCCCTCCCCCATCTAATAAATGGCAACGTCTTGTTTATCATCCTTCCTGAAAAGCTCTTGAGTCTATCCACTCCTTTCTTAACCTACTACCTTGTCTTAATCTAGATCACTCTCACCTGTCTTCATCACAGTATGTCTTCTTGCTTTCATTGTCAATACTGCTTTACATTCTAGTCAGAAATTTTATAATTTAAAAGCAAAGGGAGGGCCGGCACCAGGGCTCACTTGGCTAGTCGTCTGCCTGTGTCGCCAGTACCATGGGTTCTGGTCTCAGTTGGGGCGCCGGATTCTGTCCTGGTTGCTCTTCTTGCAGTCCAGCTCTCAGCTGTGGCCTGGGAAGGCAGTGGAGGATGGCCCAAGTGCTTGGGCCCTGTACCCACATGGGAGACCAGGAGGAAGCACCTGGCTCCTGGCTTCATATCGACGCAGCGTGCCCGCCATAGCGGCCATTTGGGGGGGTGAGTCAACGGGAAAGGAAGACCTTTCTCTCTCTCTCTCTCTCTCTCTCTCTCTCTGTGTGTGTGTCTAACTCTGCCTGTCCAAAAACAAAACAAAACAAACAAAGGGAGAAAAGCTGAGGTCTAGCATTGGGTGATTACTCAAGATGACCAGAGGTGAGAAATGATAAGGCCAGATGACAAATCCTGCATTATGAGAGCTATTGCTGTATTCACCATGCAGTGTTGCCACTTACAATATTAATAAATACTTGCAGAGTTAGCAAAGAAGTTTTATAGTTCTCCCTCCCTTGGAAGACTTTTTTGAGAGGTGGGTTGTAATTACCTTACTTTTCAGATGAGGAAATTGAGACTTGAGGGAGGTTAGGTAGTTTGCTCAAGGACAGGAAGCTGTTAAATGTTGAAGTTAGTGCTAGAAATTGGCTTCTAGAGGCCAGCATTGAAGCACAGTAGGAAACGCTCCCCCTGCAATACTGGCATCCCATATGGGCGCTGGTTCCTCTCCTAGCTGCTCCACTTCTGATCCACCTCCCTGTGAATGCTCCTAGGAAAGAATAGATGATGGTCCAAGTGTTGGGGCCAATTCCACCCATGTGGGAGACCTAGATGAAGCTCCTGGCTTTGGCCTGGCCCAGCCCTGGCCGTTGAGGCCATTTGTGGAGTGAACCAGTGGACTAAAGATCTCTCTCTTTCTCTGTCTCACTCTTCCTTTCAAATAAATACATAAATCTTTTAAAAAGAAAAAAGAAAAGCAAAAGCATGAAGAAAAATAAAGATAAAATGGTTAGGGAAATTGGAAGTAAGAAATACATAATTATAAGGGGGTAGAATCTAACAGTTATTTTGTAAGACAGAGTTGGATATAATGGAGAATAAGTCTAATTAGACCTGCCATAAGCTTCTAACTTCAAAACCCATACCTTCAGCTTTTTATACCACCCTAGAATTGATCCTAATAGTGTGAACAAGTGTGGGTCAAGTCTTTTATACTCTCAGTTTCTTCTATGAGATGAATACTTACTGTAGAGATTAGATGACATCATTACAAAAATTTCTGGAAAACGGAATTAAAAGGTAAGTTTATTTTGGCACAAAAGTGAAATGTGCATATGTGGGGTGTTCAGGAAGTTCATCGGAAAATGTGTATTACAGAAAACTATACATGGATCTCAAATTTTTTTATAACATAGTAGGTGTATCCTTTAATTCCATTTTCCCACGAATCTGCTAAAGCATCCTTATAGATGGAAACAAAGCACTTATTGCAATGTCTCACCTATGGGAGGTCTTAATTATAGGCATATAATAAAAATTAACTGTTGTTAATATTAGCTATAGGTTCTACTCCTTGTAATTATGTATTCCAATTTCCCTAAGCGTTCTAATTTATTTATTTTTACTTATTTGACAGGTAGAGTTAGACAGTGAGAGAGAGAGAAAGACAGAGAGAAAGGTCTTCCTTCTGTTGGTTCACCCCGCAAATGGTCGCCACGGCCGGTGCACAGCACCGATCCGGAGCCAGGAGCCAGGTGCTTCCTCCTGGTCTCCCATGCGGGTGCAGGGCCCAAGCACTTGGGCCATCCTCCACTGCCTTCCCGGGCCACAGCAGAGAGCTGGACTGGAAGAGGAGCAATCGGGACAGAACCGGCGCCCCAAACAGGTGCCGGTGCCGCAGGTGGAGGATTAGCCTAGTGAGCCACAGTGCCGGCCATCTAATTAATTTTTTATCTATGCTTTTGCTATAGCTCTTTTTCTTCTGTTTGAATTATTCCCTTTTCTTTTCTCTGCTATTCAAATCTTAGCATTTTCTTTTTATTAATTTATTTATTTGACAGATAGAGTTAGACAATGAGAGAAAGAGACAGAGAGAAAGGTCTTCCTTCCATTGGTTCATCCCCAAAATGGCCACTGAGGCCGGCGTTCTGCCAATCCGAAGCTGAGAGCCAAGTGCTTCTTCCTGGTCTCCCATGCAGGTGCAGGGGCCCAAGCACTTGGGCCATCCTCCACTGCTCTCCCACGCCATAGCAGAGAGCAGGACTGGAAGAGGAGCAAGCGGGCCTAGAACCCAGCGCCCATATGGGATGCTGGCGCCGCAGGCAGAGGATTAACCAAGTGAGCCACGGCGCCGGCCCCCAAATCTTAGCATTTTCTTAAGACTCCCAACACTCTGAAAATTTTTTAAACATTATTTATTTGAAAGTCAGGGTTACACAGAGAGAGGAGAGGGAGAGAGAGAGAGAGGGAGAGAGAGAGAGAGAGAGAGGTCTTCCATCTGATGGTTCACTCCCCAATTGACCACTGTGGCCGGAGCTGCGCCGATCTGAAGCCGGGAGCCCAGAGCTTCTGAGTCTCCCACGTGGGTTCAGGGGCCACGTGGAAAGCATCCTCTACTGCTTTCCCAGGCTATACAGAGAGCTGTATCAGAAGGGGAACAGCCGGGTCTCGAACTGGTGCCCATATGGGATGCCGGTGCTTCAGGCCAGGGTGTTAACCCACTGTGCCACAGAGTGGGCCCCTATTTATTTTAGCGTATGTCCATCTTTTGCTTCCTGAACTCTTATAGAACTTTTATTTTTTCTTAAAAAATAAAAACTAATCTTTAGAATTTATTTATTTTTTTAATTTGAAAGATATATTTGGGTTCACTCCCCAAATACCCACAACAGATGGTACTGGACCAGGCTGAAGCTGAAATTTAGTCTGGTAGGTACTTGATACTTGAGCTACATTTAGCAAGAATACTGTATTGGAAGGAGTGGCCAGGACTTGAACCAGGCAGTATGATATAAGATGGGAGCAGCTCAAGCAGCAACTTAACTTCTGGGCGAAACATCTGCCCCAGAACTTATCTGCTACTCTGTAGTTACACTTTACTAAGTGATAAGTCTTACCTTACCTGTTTTTCAAATGTTTTACGGCAATGAGCATTTTTCCCATAAATGTATATAATTGCTTATATATGATTTGTTTGGCATATGTTATTGAAGGAATTGTATGCTTCAGTCACTCTTCAGTACTCTTGACATAAGGATGAGTAAGATGGTCAATGTACTCAAGTTGTTTGAAAAATAGCAAATCAATTATAACTTATATTATCTCATTTTATGTTTACTAGGGGAGCATTGACACTCACCGGTTTATAATTCTAAAAAGTCCTGTCCCATAGCTTCTCTTATTTATAGGTGTCATAACAGATGAAATAGGAATTAATGTTAACCACAAGGAAGTTGTGATTCAAAGGTGGAGATGTTGTTCTCCTACCTCATATGAGTGATGAAGTTGATTCTCAGATGGCTTTTTAAGACTCAAATAGCAAGTGAGCAATAGATTTGGAACTTAAGTTTAGCTTTCATATTTAGATAACATAAGATGAAATAATCTCCAATTTGCTGCTCAGCATTAACTTATATTTCTGTTTTAGACCTCTTATTATAAAATCTTGAAATACTAAAAAAGAATAGTCTACTCAACTCCTGTGTGCCCATCACCAACTTCAACAGTTAATACTTTCCTTTTGTCATTCTTACCTACCTAACCACCTTATTTGTTTCATTTCAGAGTATTTTAGAGCAGATCATTTTCCCACAGATATTTCAAGATGAGCTTTGACTTTAAATTTTACTGAAAAATAATACAAAATTTCTTACATTTTAAATGCATTCTATTATATAGTAATATTTGATAAATTAATAAGTATATATACGCCAGTGGCAATGTAAACTTTAGTGTATTGTTTCTTTAGTTCAGAAATATTTCAATTCTAAAGTATTTTCTTGAGTCACATTTTATGTGGTTAAGAGGAAAAAATTTAGACAAAGGAGACAATTAGATGCTTCTAGTGAGTATTGTTTTGGGAAAATAGGTGCTTTTATAAGCATCTATTTTAAGCACATTAAAAATGTTCTAATAAAATACACATTCTATAGTATGTTCTTCTGTTTTAGAGGAAAAGACATTGCTTCTCTTCTCCCAAACTAATACTAAATGCCTGTTGGACATTATTTACCTTTCTCATAGAGTTTTGCTACTTCCTCCTGTCCTTTGTGTCTCTGTTCTCTACTTCTCTTTCATTCTGTAGCCTACAAGTCTTCAAGTCTACTATTTTAGAAAAAACAGAAACAAAATAAACTTTCCTTGGTTTTCTGTCCCAGCAGCCTCCCTGAATACCTCCTGATACTTCATTGACCTCAGGGAAAGTTCTGAATTCCTTAGTGTAGATACAAGGTTCTTTACTTTTTTTTTTTTTTTGACAGGCAGAGTGGACAGTGAGAGAGAGAGACAGAGAGAAAGGTCTTCCTTTGCCGTTGGTTCACCCTCCAACGGCCACAACGGCCGGCACACCGCGCCTATCCGAAGGCAGGAGCCAGGTGCTTCTCCTGGTCTCCCATGTGGGTGCAGGGCCCAAGGACTTGGGCCATCCTCCACTGCCTTCCTGGGCCACAGCAGAGAGCTGGCCTGGAAGAGGGACAACCGGGACAGAATCCGGTGCCCCTACTGGGACTAGAACCCGGTGTGCCAGCGCCGCAAGGTGGAGGATTAGCCTACTGAGCCGCGGCGCTGGCCTGGTTCTTTACTTTTTATCTCCTAGACACCTTTCCTTCTTCACTTGCAACCTATCCCAAATGCCTTTGATGTTCATTCATAGTAATAATTATAACAAGCCAAACCCACAAAATTGTCATTCTTAACACATGGTTTATATGCTAAAATGTATCATATCAGAGTTGACAATTAAAACTACTCATTTATTCCTGCTCAGTTCAATTCAGAATTCTCCAAACATTTGAATTCCGATTATGTGACAGGTACTGTTGTAGATTCATTTGCTAATCTTTCGAATGTTTTGAAATTGAAATCTGTTTTCAATTGTATATAATATCAGAAGAAATTAAGTAGAGCTAAATAGCCAAATATATGAAAGTTTTTGTCTGTTGTGGATATGAGAATGTTAAAAATGATTTATTATTTTCTGTGGTCAAACTATTATCTAATTATGTTTTAAAATTTTTCTTTTAGGGACAGTATGGAAATTACCAACAGTGAAACAGTACTTACATTCCAATAGCCAGTATCTATTAGCAGCCATATTGTCACCTCAGCACTGTGGACACCTCCCTGTGAAAAGATCCTTTCATTCCATCTAGTTTTTGGAAAAACCTTGTGGATAAGTGGCTGTTTCATCAATAAGCAGCCTTTGTGGTTTAGTTGTAAAAGGCTTTAGTAGCTCAAAAATACTCTTGATTTCACATTTCTACTCTAGATGGCAACATTGGACAGAAAATGCAATGACATAACCAGTTTGCAATGATTTTGGAACTGTGTTTCAAATGGACTGTTACAGACTGAAAGGTGTGAACAGCTTTGTATGTTTATGAAGGTTAAGGGAATTTAATACTTTTCCACAGATTCTTTTGTAAGGGGAAGAGGGAAATGTACACTTTTTACAGCAGCAATATTTTGTATATTATGTTTATTTCATGTGATGAATATGCAAGGCGGTACACTGTGCACTGGACAGAATCAGAAATCCTCTGTTAATGTGGACTGGAGCATAGTAGATGCTTGATTGTTTGGGTCTCAAAATGGTGTCCTATAAAGATAAAGGTGAGAGAGGAGGCAAAGCACACCATATGTCCACTGTTAGATTCTCCTAGAGGAAATTCAAATCCCTTTTATCTCTTAGATAATGAAAGGCACTGTGATACAGTTTTGGGTAAAAAGACATTTTTTAAAAGCCTTCCAGTTTTGTGGATTAAAACCTTTTTATAAAGACCATTTATATTACTGTTTTAAAATGTGAGGCAATAAGAATTACTTTATGTTTGATTTGAAGTATCTTTGGTAATAGCTTCATGTAAATGAAGTGGTAATCCTCTCTTAAGATAGCAATAACTGAAAATGAAAGTGTTAATTTTACCTTGTTTGAGTAATCAGGGAACTTAGAAAATAATATCAAAACATTTTATAAATGATATCAAAGGAGAGTCAGTGTTGACCCAGGAATTTTATTTTTTAACATTCGAAGGATAATTGGTTTATATGATAAAATATTATTTCAACTTTCTTAACTGGAGATAATGCCATTTATAAAGGAACATTTTATGTTTTCCCCTTTTTTATGTTGGTTAATATAATACAAAGAGATGTTCAGGAAAATGCTTATTGATGAGGTTTATTCTGATTTGTATTAAAAGCATAGAGGTTGCATTATAGATCACCTTGTTTATAAGCATGGCATAGTTAATCATTATTTGAGACTGTCCTGTGCCTGATTATTTTAGCTCAATTCAGGGATGTTACATTGGGCAGGAAAGCATGCATTGAGAAATTTCTAGCCACAGTTATTTAAGCATAATCCGAAAACATCTAGCCCAAAGGTAAGTTGCTATTTTCATCACAGTTGTCCGTGCCCAGGGAATAAGATGTATTCTTTATAATTGAATTGGTTTTTCCCACTTCTAACTGGAAACAAAATGAAGGGGGAGGGCATAAGTTTGAATAAGCAGAACATACTGTTCTCAATATGCTGTAATCAAAAGGAGGCATTTCAGCGTGTCTGTGTGTATGAGAGTGAATGTGTGTCTGTGTATGTGTGTTTTAAGGTCAGAATTGGTTTTCTTTCATCTTGGTCAGTGGATAATGGACATCAAGTTTGAACAGATAAAGCATAAACAGCCTTATTGTGATTGAAATGCTTATAGATTCTGTGCCAATTTTCCACCACTGTGTACTTTGTTGCTATTTAAAACTGTATCAACTCTAACAGAAGAATAAATTATTTGTGATTTTAATTTTCTCATTTGTTTCTTTAAATTAGATCTCTTTGACTCTCTTGTTTTGCCTAGAGACCATGCTGTGGGTTTTTATATAAGTTAGTCCAGTATAAGCAGACTATATTTGTATTCTAGGACTTTATCAAAATTCTCTTGCCATGCCCAAGTTAATTAGAATTAACTGTTCAGTAATCAGCATGTTGTGTAGGCTGTTTGTTACAGAATTCTTTCTCTGAAAATGAAGTCCATGAGGCTGTAATCAAGATGACTGAATTAGATAAATGAGTTGAGGAGACAAAATTGTACTGAACCCAACCTGGTGTAGATACGTTATCTCATTTGAAATAAGCTCAACTGACATTAAGAAATAATTTGTCTTGCCAACCCATCTTCTGTTGTCTTATTCTCCTTTTAATGGAAACTAAAATTGCAATTTTAATAAGCAGAATTTCCTCCAGGACTTTCTTCCTGGAGACTAGTGCATTTGCAAGGTTTAATTGTTTTATAACAGTCCTATTTCGTAAAAGTTTTTAATTGGTGGTGACAAAAATTATCTTACTCCTTTGATACCTAGTTAGAAGAATAACTTTACAAGTAGCTTTCTACCAAATTTGACATTTCCATATAGATAGTCTGTTCTAAAATTAAAATTTTCATTTTATCAAAATAAATGAAAATGTATTTTGATGAATAAATAGCACATTGTCCCATATAATTCCAGACGCAAAATACTGCTATAAGAAAGGCATGGTGATTATTGATAACTATTTCCAAATATTTAAGTGTGCTAATTTAGTGGAGAATATGTCTGCATTATTCTGTAGATTTATTCAGGTGGTGTTTTGGGTTTCTGGGTTTTTTAAAAAAATTTTTAAATGGAATTTTCAAACATAGACCAACATGGACAGAATGATCTAGGGAACCCCCATGTACTGGCAACCCAATTTATCTACTTAGCAACTCAGGCCAATGTTCTGTTGTCTGTGCAACCACCTACAAATTGAGGCAAACACTATTTGTTTAATCACTAAATATTTCTAAGGGTCTCTAAAAATAAGGGGGAAAAAAACCCACCTCAGACATTGAGGACTCTGACTGCTTTAGAAATTCCATACTATCGATGTTAACACTGATTTAGAAACTGAGACTCTGTACCTGTAAAGCACTGCCTTCTTTCATTTTAAAGTCATTCATATTAAAATAGAAATATATTGTACAGAAAGTGAACATTGCCCATAATTTTGTTCCTTAATGGCAGTAATTAATAAAGATTTGGTACATTTCTTCCAGCTTGATTTGGACACATAAGCAAGTAATACCATTTGTTTTTAAACAAAAATGGAATTATATATTGCTTTGTTACCTTTTTCCCCCTCTTTGTTGAACTTAGAAGTATCCTCCTATTAGCATGTTGCCTCTGATTTTTTACTGTTGCAAAAACAAAACATTCATGTACTATCTGGCAAGATTTTTTGTTTCAATTGACACACAAAAATCAAACATGTTGGGGGGTACCTTGTGATATTTTGACACAATAATCATTGTATAATGTTCAAGTCAGGATAAGCATATCTGTTTCCTCAAACAATTAACATTTCCTTACAGGTTTTTTTTTTTTTTTTTTTTTTTTTTTTTGTATGCTATTTAAGTACTTCTACACAGCAAATTTCTGATACACTTAGTTGTAAGGATATAGACATTTTAAAAAAGTGTTGCCCTATTAGGTATATCCTTTCCAACAGTAGTTTATTTGCCTTGTTAATTTTTTCAATTCTAATAGATTTTTATAGATGTTATTTCTGAACTTAATTTGAATTATATTTTTTGTAAGTTGCTATCATTTCAAGTGCTTAATTATACTTTGTGAAATGCCTTTTAATGTTCTTTGTCCATTTCTCTTGTTGCCATGTTTTGTGAGAGGAAATACTAACTGTATACATGCACACATATATACATACACATAAAATTACATATGGTTCTCCATTTGCATGTGTTAATCCTTTGTCTTTTTTCTTCTCTCCATTATTTTTTAAAATTCACTTATGATGGCTTACACTATATTTAAGTTTTAAGATTTTATATAGTCAGAAATTTGTGGCTTATGACACTAGCAAATTTATAAAAGTAGTCCTCATTTGCTTTCATTTTTCAAAGATTTACTGTACATGGTATGATTTAGGGCATTAATTTCTTTCCTATATGTATGAGCAGTTGTTTAAGTATCAGTTATTAAATAAACCATTTTCCTTCCATTGATATGAGATGCTAATTTGTTTTATTGAAGAATTATAGCTAAGGCATGTATTATTCTGTTTCTAAGACTGTTTAGACCCATTTAGGTATAACTACTTAATTTGACTGCCATAAGTTGTTAGTATTTTTATCTCCAAGATGATGCTTTTTTTTTTTTCCCTCCCAATATGGGTGTTGGTTCGAGTCCCAGCTGTTCCTCTTCTGATCTAGCTCCCTGCTGATATGCCTGGGAAGGCAGCAGAAGATGGTCTAAGTGCTTGGACCCCTGTACCCATGTGGGAGACCCAGAAGGAGCTCCTGGCTCCTGACTTTGGATTGGCCCACCTCTGGCCGTTGTAGCCATTTGGGGAGTGAACTAGTGGATGGGAGATTGTCTCTCTCTCTCTCTCTCCCTCCCTCCCTCCCCCTGTCTCTGTCTGTCTCTCTCTCTCTCTCCCACGCTCTCTGTCTGTCTCTAACTGCCTTTCAAATACATACATAAATCTTTAAAAAAAAAAAAAAAAGCTACCTGTAAGGGTAGAAAATGGTTTTTTAATAGTAAGAGAATTACTGAAGTGTACTTTGTATTTTATTGTTTTTTTTTTTTTTTTTTCTCAAAGATTTATTTATTTGTTTGAAAGAGTTACACAGAGGAGAGGCAGAGACACAGAGAGAGAGGTCTTCTATCCGCTGGTTCTCTCCCCACATGGCCACAACAGCTAGAGCTGCGCTAATCCAAAGCCAGGAACCAGGAGCTTCTTCCAGGTCTCCCACATGGGTGCAGGGGCCCAAGGACTTGGGCCATCTGCTGCTGCTTTCCCAGGCCATAGCAGAGAGCTGGATCGGAGGTAGAACAGCCGGAACTCGAACCGGCGCCCATATGGGATGCTGGTGCCTCAGACCAGGGCCTTAACCCACTGTGCCACAGCGCCGGCCCCTGTATTTTTTTTTTTTTTTTTGTAATGTACAATCACTTCAGCTTAGGAGTTTTGTTTATTGAAATTTAGAAGCTCTTCATTTTTAAGATTCATTTATTTATTTGAAAGGCATAGTTAGAGAAGACATTTTCCATCTGCTGGTTCACACTGCAAATGACTGCAAAT